CGGGGAGATGGCTCTGCTCCGTGGGCACCTCCTGACCCTGGGGAATGGAGCCACCAGGGCCTCAGTCTGGAGCTCCAGGGTTTGGGGAATAAACCCAGACCAGTGATGGAATTTTTGCCCAAACCCTACTGGTGAGTCCATACACGTTGGCCCCATTATTAACCCTCTTTTGTCAAATCATCCCAGAGGAAAAGAACAAACACTCTTAAAGCCGTTGAAGCTGAACCACCTGAAGCTGCCAGTGAAGCACCCAGGTGACCACAGCCTCCCTGGGGCAGCCTCAGCCCAGCCCTGGGACAATTTCCCTGCTGAGGGCAGGGAACGAAAGCAAAACCCACCCTCAGCCCCAAAGGCCGTGCTGGGCACGGACCTGTGCAGCTTTGCTGTCATCTCCTGGGCTGCAGAGGGGACAATCAGATGGACAGACAGGACGGGGTGAGGCTGCCGGCTGCCTGTCCCTAAGCGGCTTGTCCCAACCCTGCCGTGGCTGCTGGAGGGGTGGTCCTGCCCCCCTGGCTTCAGGGAGCTGTCCCTGTCTTGTGTCCCCCTCCTGAGCCAGGACAAGGCTAATCCAGCCTGGAGAACCAATCCAGGCTAAAACATGCTTCTAGATGTCTTCCCTAGGGTCAAAATGTCTAGGAAATGTCCCCCGCAGCCCCTGACACACGGCTGGTCCTTCTGCAGCTCCCACCACAGCCTCCCTGGGACGGTGGGAGGAGCAGGCAGGGGAGCACAGCACCCCAGCTCCTCACCTCCCAGAGGAACTGGATCTCCACGGGCTCCACGCTCATGAGATTGGGTTCCTCCACAGATGGTCGAGCAGCAACCTTGAGGGACCTGCCGGCTTCTTCCCCCTTAGAACAAAACCTGCTTTTCTCCTGGGGAGGGCACCGAATTTGAGGGCTCATTCTGCATGGGTAGGGCTCATTTCTCAAGGGCCATATCCTGCCCTGATGCGGCAGGTCCCAGGGCAGAGCTCTACCTGGTTCGGGGGATGCACAGCCTGGGCACAGAAAGGGACAGAAGCATCTCTAGGTTGCCACCAATGTGGCAGCTGGATCCAGTCAGGAAAAAAATCTCCTTGCTGGCTTTTGGAGAGCAGGAGATGAGTTTTGGAGGATGGGAAGGGAAAGAAATGTCTCTGCACGCTGGGACACGCAGTGGCTTTGAGCAACCAGGACTAGGAGCTGCCCAGGGATGGGACCTGGTGGTGGCTCAAGGAGCTGACAGTGACCATGGCTCCCCACCAGATGGGAGCATGCCCAACCTAGCCCAGCTGTAGCCCGTGTGGGGGTTGCCCCAGAAGGGGGGTTGCCATGTGGCCCCCTGCTTCCTGCCTGAGCATCCTGCTCCGGGTGCACGTTGTCCTGAGCCTGGAATACCACGTGTCCTGCAGGAGTGGTGGCCTTGGGGACAGTCCCACCAGCCCCATGCCCAGGTGGTGGCTGTGCTGGGCTGGAGAACGCTCTGTCCTGTTACCCATTCTCCTCAGCACCAGCACCAAGGGGCATCGCCTTCCCCTGGAGCACGGGGAGAACATTTGTGTGATGGGAGAGGGTTTCCTCCTGAGGTTTGTCATCAAATGGCAGAGAACACCTCCTGCCTGCCATGGGGACAGGGTGGCACAGGAACCTGTGGGGCAGGGTTTGGGGACAGCCCCCTGTGTGGCACACATCAATTGAGCTGGAGGTTGACCCTGCCTCTAAGATCAGGTCTTGCAGAAAATAGGCCAAAATGTCCCCTTGTAACGAACCCCTATCCCCGGGGTTTTGGGGGAGCCCCAGGGCTCAGACCTGACCCGCAGCAGCCAGGGCTGGTTCCTCCTGATGCAGTGGGAGGCACAGGCAGAGCTCAGGACCTCCTGAGGGAGCTCTCGACC